TACTGGAAAGAGCCTGGCCCGAGCAGGTCTGCCTCGGGCGGCCTGGCCTGCGTGGGCTCTTGACTTCGTGCAGGAAAGAGCTCACAGCAGAGTCCAGGTGACGAGGAGGGGTGCTTATGGAAGCTGGGACAGCGAAACAAGGGGGTGGGGGCGCAGACAGAAGCAGCAACGGAGAGCGGAGGCGGGCAGCTCTGGCCGCTAGAAACCTTATAGGAAGGAAGGGAGCCCAGGCGGGTGCTGCCAGCTCACGGGGGAGTCAGGGAAAGGGGGCCTTGGGGACAGGTCCAGGGGGTTAGCCCAGGACGATGTACAGCTGCCCAGTGCTCCCCTGGCTTCGAGGCTCGTGGGGTCCCTTAGAGTTAGGAGCTGCACACAGAGAGGAGGGGGGAGGAAGGCGTGGCTGGCTCACGGAAAGGCCTGCTCTGGGGCCTTTGCTTGGAGGCGTTTAAAGGCTGTGTGTTAGGCGGGCTTGGGGAGGGTCTCAATAGAAGGCGCATCAGCTTGCCAGGTGTGGCCTCTCAGGGCCGTGGCTCCCCTGATTGGTCGGCGCCAGGGCGGGTCATTAGTCCTCGCAGGTGATCCTGGCAGCGCCCACCTGGTTCTGCTGCTTTTCTGAGCCTGAAGCTCAAATCCAACCGAAGCCTAGATATTATCTCCAGGGAGAAAGGTCAGGGGTCACAGGACCAGCAAGATGCCAGGGGAGGAGAGGCCACCTGTTTTGCCCGTTGCTAGGCACCGGGGCTTTCTGCCCCGGGGACCGCCTGTATCTGGCTTTAAGTTGCTGGGCCCGTGTGTCCCCCTGTCTCAGTTTCCCCATTCCACGAGCCAAGGAATTTTCCTAGCTCCTTACTCTCCAGCCTCATTGTGGCCCGCCCATAGCTCTGACCCTGGGCTGTCCACGTGTGCAGACCTGGGGGGAGCCTGCCTGCAGCCCACCCAGCCCAGGGGCCCAGCTCCCCACGTGTCCCTGGCCTTCTAGGTGCCCCCAACCGCCCACCCTGCTGTGCCACGATGTGGGTGCCAGCCCTGAGTATTGCCAGGAGCTCCCAGCAGGATCCCACCTGCCACCCCCAACGAGGGCAGCGTGGAGTCCGATGGCTCTACCTCCACTGCCCTCTCACGTGTGTGACAGGCCAGCCGGGACCCGCCTGCGGGCCCTCAGCTGTGAGAGCTGCAGGACTCAGCTGGCAGGGGGGGCGGGAGATGGAATGAAGGTGCCAAGTGAATTCATTTTCCAGGGCCCGTGGGACAATGAGCAGCTTAGCACCGCACACCTTTTCTCTTACAGGCCTGGGTCGGGAGTCCGGCAGGTCTCCCGGAAACGGAGGTGTGGGCAGGGCTGGTTCCTGCCGGACACCCTGGGGGAGAGTCTGCGTCCTGCCTTTTCTAACCCCCGGAGGAGCCCACGTTCCCTGCGCCGGCCCCTTCCTCCAGGCGGTGGCCTCACGCCCCACCTCCCTGGCCCTTCCCCCCTGGGCGGCTCCAGCTCATCCTTCACCTCTCAGAACCTCGACTTCCTCGTCTGCACCACATTCTCACGGTGGATATGAAAAACCTAACGATCCTGGGAGAGTGTGAGGACTTGGAAATCACGGGGGGGGATGCTTGCCAGCTTCAACACAAACCCCCGATGCGGAGGCTCATGGCCAAGCACAGTGCTCTGCAGGCCTCGCCGCGCAGCCACGCAACCCCGCCCCTCCCGAAACGACGTGGCCGAGGATGATCAGCTCCGTTTCCTCGGTGATGAACTCAGCTTGGAGAGATCCCAGGCTGCACTGGGAGCTGGAGGCAGCAGAGCCTGGAGTGGTCCGGGCTTCCCTGCACCCAGGTGTGTCGCCTCGGGACCGGACCCACGCCCTGTGGTGGGCCTTGTCAAAACACACCGGCCTGGCCAGTGTGGCTCAGTGGTTGGGCATCGACCTATGAACCAGGAGGTCACGGTTCAGTTCCCAGTCGGAGCACACCAGTCAGAGCACATGCCCGGGTTGCAGGCCCCACCCCCAGTGCGGGGCGGGCAGGAGGCAGCCGAGCCATGATTCTCTCTCATCACTGATGTTTCTCTCTCTCCTGCTCCCTTCCTCTCTGAAATCAATAAAAATATATTAAAAATAAATAAAAATCTATACTAATAAAAGGGTAATATGCTAATTAGACTGGAAGACCTTCCGGGAGACTTTCTGGACATTCTTCCGGACAAAGCCATGGTGGCGGGGCTGAGGCAAAGGCAGTTAGGGGCAATCAGACCAGGAGGGGAGGGCAGTTGGGGGTGATCAGGCCAGCAGTGGGGGGCAGTTGGGGGTGATCAGGCCGGCAGGTGGGAGCAGTTGGGGGTGAGCAGGCCAGCAGTGGGGGGCAGTTGGGGGTGAGCCTAAACCGGCAGTCAAACATTCCCCAAGAGATCCCAGATTAGAGAGGATGCAGGCCGGGCTGAGGGATACCACACCCCCACCCCACCCCCCGCTGCCCCGTGCACAAATTTCATGCACCGGGCCACTAGTAAATAAATAAAAAACAAATACCATTCTGAGCCTCATTTTCGATGTAACATTTGTTATTTTATTGGAAAAGGCTGGTATTCACATATTTATAATTTTATTCAACAGCTGGATAATTTGTGAGACACCAAAGAAAACAATGCACCCATGAGTTACAGGGTCCAACATGGTCAGTCTGTCCATGCCCCCCGCATGGCCCCAGGCTGCCCAGCCCGCCCCGGAGAGCTGACAAGACAGACAGCCACCGCCTCGCAAGGCCCACGCGAGCCCCACAGGCACGAAGAGCAGAAAAACCAACCACCGGGAAGCAACGCCTGTGACTATTCCCGGTCCTCCCGCCGGTTCCGGCTTTGCCCTCCGCCCTCCGCACCTTTTCTCAACACACATTTGGTTACTCAGTCTTCTCTGGATGTTGTTTCCCAGGGATCCCAAGATGGGCTTTCCTTCGGGAAGATCGTTTTCTTTCTTTCCCTTTTTGGTTTGGTCTCAGCCAACGTTTAAAACAGACGTGAGGAGCCAGGAGCCGTGCACAGACCTCCCTCTGGGTCCTGCGTGAGATCTGAACCCGGCAGACGGAGCGTGTGAGATCTGGGGTCGGACAGCCCCCCAGCTGCCAGGGCGGGCTTCCTCTCCGGGGCGCAACCTCAGAGGGAACCGGTCGTGCCGAACATCCCAGGGGCCGGGTCAGGCCCTCAGAGCTGGATTCTGGCTTCCACAAGATTCCAGACAACTGACCCCATTCCCGAACCTCTTTCCAAAGGGGGTGGGCGGAATCCGATCCCGTGATTGTTCATCTTAATTGGAGGGGTATGTACATGTCACGGTGGCCAGGCGGCCTGGTCTTGCCGTGAGACACAAACGTTCTTCATTCTCGTTGATTAGAAAAAGGAATGCACGGACCCCTTCCCTCATGTGAATGGCCGGAGGCGAGTGCCATGCGTTTGTGCTTTGACACACACAGGTGGGTACACCGTCGCCCACGGAGAAGAATCTCGGGTGGGTCTATTTCCTGCGTCAGGTTACATCTTGTTAAAACGAAAATGGCTGGGATTGGTGGGGCCTGTGCAGGCTGTTTTCTGAATCAAAGAGCACAGCCCGGTCCCGCTGCCCTTCCCGGCAAAGACGGGGTGGGTGGTGGGTGGGATGGGCGGAGCTGGTTTTGACGCCGTGGCCCCAGGAGAGTCCCGAGACCGTGGGGCCCTAAAGAAAAGGTGCCTAAATGGTCCTAACATGCAATTTTCTCCGGGAGGCGGGTCAGTGCGTCTGCAGAGGAGAGAGGGGGCTGCGTGGGAGGGGGGGCAGGTGGGGAGGGCGAGCTCCTGAAGCCAGCAAACAGCGGGAGCCCCTGGGGCCTCTCCATTCTCCACCCTGCACCTCGTGCTCCGGGACCCGTCGTCCCACCTGCTCTGTCCCGCTCACAGGTGATGAGAAGCTTCCGGGCCAGGCTGAGGTTTCAGCGTGAGCCGCCAGCGTGGTAGGTCGGTGCCCGCGGAAGGCCCGGACAGGACTGACGCACCCCCCCGCCCCCGCGGGTGCACGCCGTGGGCAAACGGTGGGTCCTTCTGGGGCCTGTTTCCTCGTGTGAGCCATGGGGGTGATGAACTGTTCACCTTCCCCTCCCTGGCACCTGGCACGGAGCCTGGCACACGGTGAGCAGTAGAGGTGCGTGGAGGGTCACGATGAGGATTCCAGAAGGTCCTGGGCAGGTCAGGAAATCCCCACGAGGTGCCCAGGGCTGCACAAGCGCTGGGTGCACAGGGATCACATGGGTGTCCTGAGGCCTTGGGCCCGCAGCAGAGGCTGGGGGAGTCGGGCAGGCGTAGCAGGCACACGCACGGGAAGAGGGCACCCCCTCCACTCAGAACCCTGACGGACCGGGACATGGAAAGACATGGGAAGAACCTAAATGACGAGGCTGCGTCCCCAACATCTCAGCATGAACTCAGTCCCCACGCACGTGGGAGCCGCCGCTCCCAGGCCCTGGGAACCACTCCTTTTCGGATCCGAGGGCCCCCGGCCGGCTGGTCTGAGCTTCATTATCTGTCCCGAGCCCCAACCTGGGGCCACAGGGGGTGCATAAGGAACCGCTGGGGGGAAAATTAACCCGGAGACGTGAAAACCCTAATAATGCGGGAAAGACAGCGCGGGGTCAAGTACGAGGACGAGGAACCCTGAACGGCAAGGCCAACGACGCGTCCGTTTTGCGGTCTGTGGCTGTGAATCCCTGTTCTCCTCTTAAAGGCGCCGGGCCCAGGGAAGCCGGGGAGAGGCTGGGCCGCGGGGACCCCCGCCCACAATGCACTGCCTGTGCTGGAGTGGCTGCG